GAGAGGCATGTGGCAGGGCAGTGAAACACGAACAATATATATTCAATCTCTATCAAAAGATACATTTTCTCCCCCCTTACTAAATTTAGCCATCATTTTGTTGGCAGACTTCTTGTAAGGGTCAGAAGTAGTGGATATTGAGATCTGACTCTGATTAAACTACACTCCTGTTCTAAGTGCTCTTCAAATGAAAAAAAATTATGTAGATAAGTAAATGAAACTAATAAAAATTAATGATACATCATTATATTAAACATTCTAACAAGAAAGATTTATATATATTTGACTGTCAGGAAACAAGGAGCGATGTATTTCCCCTCCCCCCGCCCCAGTGCAAGTATTGAAAGTGATATCTGTGTGGACTCTGTGGTCTGTTGTCAGCAGTCATCTTCTCAAAAACCTTTTTTCCAATTTAAAATGCCATAAAACTGTTACAGACTGCCCAGTGTAACACCAATTTAGACTTCTTGATCAAAGAACTTCAGTGTTGTCAGCTCCATCTTTTAGCCTGAGTTGTTGAGCAAATATCAAGGTGATATGGAAATAATGTATACACCTTGCCTTTTTAAGCCTCTTTTTCTCTTCAGTTATAAATATAATTTTTCCCTCCTTTGAGTCTGGGAGAACTTGTTCCTCGCCAATGTATTGGAAGTAGTTCTCTAAACTACCCTCAAACATTTTGGTATTGTCATAGTAACAGCTGTGGGATTGCATATGAATTCTATAGGATTGAATCCTTAGATTTCAAATACTGATTTCAGCTGAGACTTTCATTGGAGTCTAAGGCTAGGTCTACACTACCCGCCTGAATCGGCGGGTAGAAATCGACCTCTCGGGGATCGATTTATCACGTCCCGTTGTGACGCGACAATCGATCCCCGAATCGACGCTCTTACTCCACCAGCGGAGGTGGGAGTAAGCGCCGTCGACAGAAAGCCGCAGAAGTCGATTTTGCCGCCGTCCTCGCAGCGGGGTAAGTCGGCTGCGATACGTCGAATTCAGCTACGCTATTCACGTAGCTGAATTTGCGTATCTTAAATCGACTCCCCCCTGTAGTGTAGATGTACCCTAAGGGAATTTGTGTCTAATTCCCTTTGACTTCACTGAAAAGCCTATCTTAAATATTTTTTCTACCATACTACCTCTGAGTCTAACCTTTAAGAAGGTGGCATTTTATTTCAACTGAAAACCAGAATGAGGGCTGCTGCTTTAAGAGGACTACTGGTTTTGATTGGTACCTGTGTAAGTCAGTGAAGAAGAGGTTTTCTAAAGCTTTTGTTGAGGATTTAAAGGTTTGTTAGATAATATTAGCTAGCTTGTTCTAAGGAACACCTCCTAAAACTGGTCAAGGCAAGGCATGCTGTACTTTATCAAGCACTTCAACTGGACCAGTTTAGCACTTGCTAAAGTACAGTTTGTCTTTTCTTGACCAGAGTTTCAAGTCGTGTGTTTAAATTTGATCAAGGTAGCTACCAGATCTAACAAATCTTTACATCTTAATCTAGACAAAGCTCTTTGTGGTGTTATTGAAAAGCCCTGAGCCATGTCTAGTGTGTTGGGGGCTGTCCATACAGTCTATAACACATTTCTGGGTGATTTTTCCAAGACCTACCTACCTTGTTTGTGTTACAAAGTGTTACATACACAATGCAAGGTTCCTCCCATGCTTACCTCATGTATGGACAGTTGTATAAAAGTTCTATAGTAGTAAGAATTTGGGGGATGTGTGTGGGGCTTTCTGAGCCGCGGCTGTCTCTGAGAATTCTGATGCCGCCGCCCTACTGCCGCTACCCCATGGGCGAGGACAGGGGGCGGGAACAGCCGGAGACCCGGTAGCTAAGCAGCAGGCCGGGGGCGAAAGGAGGCCTAGGCCGTGTCGGCCCGTTGTGGGCAGACCAGGCCGGACTCCTGTCAGTACGGTGCCCTGCAAGCCAGCGCTGCGGTGGAAAGCCACGCAGATGGCACTTCTCGCTGTTACCCAGCCGTTGTGGTGTTACGGCAGGCGCGGTTGTACCGCTGGAGTCGGGCCCCCCTGACGTCCGAGCGCTGCCCTGCCGCCCTTGTGTCATCGCGTCACGGGGCTTCGCTGAAGCAGAGGCGGCGGCGGCGGCGCGGGGCGCTTTGCACTCGCTCAAGCACCGGGCCGCCGCTGCC